GACATGGCATTTTTTCTAAGCCTGGAAAAGTTTTGAAAATACAGAAAAACTCAAAACGTTTCGGAAAAGTCAAGGAAATGACATTTACATTAGTCATTAAGCAGACGTTTTTGTCCAAAGCGACTTAAGCTGCGGTCACACTAGGGCAGGGGTGTCAAACTCATTTTAGCTCAGGGGCCACATAAAGAAAAACCGATTCCCAAGTGGGCCGGAGCGGTAAAACCATTGCATATGTAACTTAAAAACAACAACTTCAGATATTTTTCTTTTTCTTAATACGATCAACATAAAACATAAAGCTGGAGCCTGAGGAAAACATGATCTCATGGCAATTCGTAACCTTTTGATTTAGTGACTAATTCATTTGTACTCATCTCATTTCATAAAATTTAGTAGGCTACGATTTGCTTATCCACCAATGACGGTTGGGTTTAGGGGTGTGGTTGGGTGCTAAAATCATGCATTTTCGTATGACTGAACTAGCCACTAAACCAGGGGTGTCCAAACTTGGTTCTTGAAGGCTGGTGTCCTGCATAGTTTAGCTCCAACTTTCTTCAACACACCTCCTGGATGTTTAAATTTTTTTCTAGTTAACCTAATTAACCTAGTTAAGCCTTTAAATATAATTTAAATGTAACAAAAATTTCCCAATTAGAAAAATACTACAAACTATAAAATACTATTCATGAAAATACTTAAATAACAGACAATTCCAAATGCCCAACAAAAGCGGGCTGCATTCCAGACCAGTTCAGCTCGATGACGTATAGTGTCTCCGACACCGCCTGTAGTTCCATTTAGCAACTTGTTAGCAATCGTCTTTTAAAAGTAGCGTAAACGTGAACGTATCTTGAGTTTGTGTTAGCCACGAACCTTATTTAAGCGATTTAACTGAAATCCCATTGGAAAAACTCATTGATTTTGGGACGAGGGAACCGGAACTACTAAAATGCTAACTCGCTTCTGGGTTTTTGAATACAAATTGACATCATAGTTCCTCCACTCTATTAGTGCTGTGTAAGCATCATCTATTTTACATAAATATAAAAATAAAGAGATTGTTGCGTGTTTTATGATATGCTGTAATAAATTTAAACATTCATTCTTTTCCTTATGATTCACCACATATACGTAGACATTACATAAAAACTTTAGGTCATGAAAATTGAAGTCCTGGAATTTTTATAGTCTATGAACCCTGGGTGTAATATGTTGTTCATTTTTCAAAGCCAGTAGCTAAAATGAACAGTATTGTGACACTTCTGCCGCAGATTACATTGCAAGACATCTTGGACTTCGAGAAGCAGTATAAAGGCTCCGACGAAGAAGTGGAAGACTTAAAAAGAGTGTACCTGCAACACGAAGGTGACATGGATCAGATCATGGAGTCGGCCCTGTGCTGTTCTTATGAAGATGAGCCTCGCGTTAAGGACATCCTTCAGAGAGCCATTGATGCTGAAGAGGTGCCGGCCTACAAAGCCTTCACTCATGAGAGCGTCAAGAAGAAGAACATCCGTAAAAGAAAGGTTGATGACTTTCCTTTTTTTTTTTGATGTGCATTTGGGTATAGGCTTTAAAGCAGTGGTTTCAAACTCATTTCCCGGAGGGCAACAGCTTTGCATGCTTCAGCTCTAACCACCTCCAGATCACACCTGCTTAATAATCATGAACACCTTAATTAGTTGGATCAGCTGTGCTTGATTAGGGTTGGAGCAAAACTGTGCAGAGTTGCAGCCCTCCGGGAATCCAATTTGAGACCCATGCTTTAAACCTTTTCTGATGCATTATCTTGTCTTTCTAGGCGGAAAAAGAGCGCAAGGAGGCGGAGGAAATGCAGGAGGAGATGGGCTTGAACAGTGAAGACAGCCTCGTAGCTATGATAAAGGTACAAAAGAAATATTCAAAGCTACATTACCATATAAAGGGATGGTTCACTCTAAGGCCCTGTTGTTTACACTAATACGTTTTCATTTTAAAACAGCATTTTAGAACGAAAACAATCCACGTTCACACTGCCGTTTCATCTAGAATTTCTCTATTGCTCTCCGTCCACTCTACACCAAACGCACATCGCAAGACCATGCACACACTCTGGCATGCGCTGAAAGCTGCTTCAGCGTATCCTCGTGTCTGAGGTCCAGGCAGTCAGATAGAGCTCTGAGCTAGGGATGCGATGATTACAGATTTTGGCTGTACGATTATAGTCTATAGGGATGTCAAAATTAATTGTTTTTTCCGTGCACGGCGATGCAGACGCAAACAATTCGGTATCGGTTAAGTAATAATCATAACTGGTTATTATGTACTGTCGTCATTTATCTCCTATGCGCTCTGTCGCCCGTGAGGTGAGCGCCAGTATTTACAACACTCAGGAGCCAACTCAGGGCCGGCCCGTGGCAGTAAAGGCAAATGCTAAGGGCGCTGTACATCCAGGGGGGCGCCAGAAATGAGCGCGGTTAAGTTGGTTTTGTTTTCAATATTCCTGACACATTCAGTTATAGCGGCAATAACTCAAAAACTCTTACCCTCAAAAGATCTAAAGTTATGTTTCACAGCTGTCTTTTTCTTCTTTTTTTTTTTCGCTCGACATTACGACCACTGCTCTGTTTGAGTCTTCGCAATATGCGTTTAGCCAGGAGAGCTCGCACGGGGAGGAGCTCTCAATGAGGGACCGTTGGAAAAGTGTGTCTTTTTTTTCTTGCTCCGCTCATCGCGAGAACTCCCGGCTAAACGCATATTGCGAGGGCTTAAGTGTGTGTGTTTGGTGCTGTTTGTATATGTGAGTGAATGAGAGACAGTGTAGTGCTGTGTGTTTAGACAGCTTGTTATAGCCTCCCCCCAAAATATAACACAGTGTATGGAAAGCATTGTCAATGCACCGATATCGAATCGATGGCATGATAATACTAACCGAACTGTGAGACAAGTATAGGTTCATACCTCTAATAGTCTAAGGGTGCTTTCACACCTGTGAATCAATTAATTTGTTCCGAAACGGAATTGTTACATTGTTGCTCTTTGTTCTTGGTGCAGTTCGCTTTTTCACAGCAAAATTACTAAAGGACCAAAAGAGCTAAAACAAGTCTTATGTGCGCAATCACTCCTCATATCGGTCAGAGTTTTACGGTTTATTTTGCAGAGTCCCACTCAGCTGTCATGAGTCCTTGTTTAAATTATGACGATGAGCAATAAGACAATATAAGCGATGTGAAGATTGTGGGGGTTTGTTGGTGTTTGACGGTGCATTTGACGTGTCTGAAAAGCAAGGAAGGATGGGGAGGGGTTAGAAGTCTGCGCAACGTATTTGATTACATGGGAGGGAGACGCGGGCATCCGGGAGTCTCTATGCATTTGCGGGAGATTTGCCAGACTTGGGATGTCTGGAATGACCTCCCTCCCTACTCATAATTCTTATAGCTGTATGCCTATTACATATCCAAAATACACTGTGATATAGGCAGGCTCGGATCGTATCGCTTTCTCACGACAATCCATCCGCTCCAAAGTTTGTTTCAATCGAGCCAAGGCCACCTAATACAGGCAATCTCGGACCCATTGATTTGGCGTGGATCAGAGTGCAATTGCTGGATTCACATATGCCAAACGAACCGCGGTAACTGACAGGTTCCGAAACAAACGTTTAGGCATGAAAGCCTTTGGCCTCCTTGGTAGAGCTATCGACTCCCATGCAGAAGGTCGCCGGTTCGATCACAGCTTGGAGTGAGTTGGGTGATGTATAGCCGGTGGGAGATACATTGGTGCCATGACTCAGATGGGAGTGAGGTTTAGGGGGGTGAGTGTAACGAAGGCCAGCTAGTAAGTGCTATGCAGGTAAACCTTACTGCTTTGACCTCTAAAGGTTCTCTAGCGAAAGATGCTAGAGGCCAAGGTCTTTAGCCACCTTGGTAGAGCAACCAACTCCCATGTGGAAGGTTGCCAGTTTGATCTCAGCTCGGAGCGGGTTGGGTGATGTAGGACCAGCGTGGGTTACGGTTTCACAGCTTTCACGATTATTGATAGGGGGACGTAAAGAGTATTTTAAGAGTGTTTTGTGACCACCCTGAAATTACAGTTTGTTTCTTTTAGAGAGTAATGTATCATCTCCTCCTGTCTCTTTTCTACTGTGCTGTTTGTCGTCTCCATTCTTCATTTTGAGAATGTGTCAAGTAAGACCCTCCCTCACCTCACGTCTATTTTGCACACTGTAATGCTTAAGGGGGACGTAATATTGGACGCTCTGTGGATTCTTTTGGAAAAGTTCAATATGCACGATATTTCAAAATTTTACATAGTCAACAAAATTATTCAGATATTATCGCTAATATTTGATGTATCCTAGATGCTCTACTGTTGGCACATGGGCTTTTTCAAGGATGTTTTTGGTTTGTTTGTGGACCCAATCTAAGCTAAGAATTCTCTGACTTTTGCTGGTAAGCTGAAAGGCGACCTTTAATGAATAGAAAAACAGGCAGCCGTTGTCTTGAGCAGTGCCTCCAGAATTCTATTTTGGGGCAGCAGCCAGTGTGATGCATGAATATTATTGCAATGAAATTGACTGTTGGCTTTTCTGTCTACTATTTAGCAAAGACAAAAGGCTAAAGAAAATGGATTCAACTCCCTCATCTCAGATCTGGAGGCAAAATATTGCAAGAAACCAGCAGCTGGAAAGAAAGGCAAGAAAAAGTGAAAGGGTTACGACAAACAAATGCAGTCAAATTCACATTGTAAATAACAGTAAGAGGGAACATTAACAGATACCAGCCCTTTGTTAGCAATAGCAAACCTGTTCAATGTGCTCATGGATGTCCTACAGTGGATGTTCAGTGGAAATACATAATGTAACCTTTCAAGTGTTCCTGTAACTTTTGTATGTGTATATATTATCCTGTTTCAGTGTTTAAATTTAATAAACTTTTGATCAGTTTTAACGTCTACGTTTGTCGTTTCTTAGTTATGACATCAATATGTTAATTTTCTATATGACAGATCTAGTACAAAAGTCAACTTTTAAAGTCATATTTATTTTTCTGAATAAAAAAAAGCATTTCAACTGGGTTTTACAACACTACACTGTAGTAACAACTGATTACTTGGCGACACTGAAGATATCTGTGGAAAGCTGGGCTGTCCGAACTCTGCGTCATGAAGTATTTTTTGGATTTGAAGCTTCACCAAGGATTGTTTTGAAGCAGGTAAGCGTCTTAATGCAGGTGCTAAACTCCGCAGGAATAAATCGACTTCGTCTTGCTGTTGTTCGTCTTTCTCTCTGTCCTTTGCATCTTTAGTTGCCAGATATTTCTCCAACAGCTCAAGTGTCTCTGATCTCCTCCGCTTTACAATGCTGGATCTCATCGCTTCTGGACTGGTCACAGACGTCCCTGTACTAGTGCTGGCTGGTTCCGCCCCGCTGTCTTCATCTGGCTCGTCATCCTCGATTTTGCTGTCCAGAATACCACTGTAGACCAGCAAAAACCATTGTGAATAACCTTGAGGTTGTGTATGCTTTATTAAAATGCAGAACAGCAAAATAAACAACATGGATAACTCTTTATAATAACCACACCCTATGAGCTATTTAATAAGCATTAGCAAACAGTGAATTCATTATTTGTTAAGCATTAACTCTACATTAACAGATGCTAGTAAGCAGTTTATAACTGCAGCTACAAATGCTATATTCTTGACTTCTATATAATATGATTAATGATTGTTTTCATACTTTATTATAATTTTTATGACTAAATGAAAGCATTATTAACAAACTAGTTACTTGAGAGTTGCTGGTTTTTAAAAGAGTATTCCAAATGAGCAAGTCAATAATTAATAAACTACTCCAATCAACATGTATATATCTTATTATTCAGGCATATACTAATAATAAATGTTTATAAATACTTTATTAACTCAACTTCATCCAGTTTTGTGACCTAATCTAAAGTGTGGACTATTTACAGTGCATCCGGAAAGTATTCATAGTGCTTCAATTTTTCCACATTTTTTATGTTAAATCCTTATTTCAAAATAGATTCAATTCATTTATTTCCTCAAAATTCTACACACAATACCCCATAATGACAATACGAAATAGTTTTTAAAATTGTTGCAAATTTATTACAAATAAAAAAAGCTGTATAATCACATGTACAGAAGTTTTGACAGCCTTTGCCGTGAAGCTCTGAATTGAGCTCAGGTACATTCTGTTTCCTTTGATCATTCTTGAGATGTTTCAGCAGCTTAATTGGAGTTCACTTGTGGCCAGGGTTGACAGTGCATGTCAAAGCACAAACCAAGCATGAAGACAAAGGAATTGTCTGTAGAAGACAGGATTGTCTCAAGGCACAAGGCTGGGGAAGCTTACAAAAAAATTCTGCTGCTCTGAAATTTTTAATGAGCATAGTGGCCTCCATCATCCGTAAGTGGAAGGTGTTTGGAACCCCCAGGACTCTTCCTAGTGCTGTCCGGCCATCTAAGCTGAGTTATCGGGGAAGAAGGGCCTTAGTCAGGGAGGTGATCAATAACCCGATGATCACTCTGTCTGAGCTCCAGTGTCCATCTGTGCAGCAATTCACCACTCAGGCCTGTATGGTAGAGTGGCCAGACAGAAGCCACTCCCTGCCTGAAATTTGCCAAAAGGCATCTGAAGGACTCTGACCAAAAGAAACAAAATTCTCTGCTCTGATAAATATGAAATTGAACGCTTTGGAGAAAACCAGGCAAAGCTCATAACTAGGCGAGAGTTCATGTTCCAGCAGGACAATGACCAAAAGCACACTGCCAAAATATCAATGGAGTGGCTTTACAACAATTAGTTGTATGTCCTTGAGTGGCCCAGCCAGAGCCCAGACCAAAATCCAATTGAACATCTCTGGAGAGATTTAAAAATGGCTGTCCACCGTTGCTTCTCATCCAACCTGATAGAGCTTGAGAGGTACTGCAAAGAGGAATGGGCAAAAATTCCCAAAGACAGGTGTGCCAAGCTTGTGGCATCATATTCAAAAAGACTGAGGCTATAATTGCTCCCAAAAGCGTTGACCAAAGGCTGTGAATACTGATGTACATGTGATTTTTCAGGTTTTTTATTTTTAATAAATTTGCAACAATTTCAAAAACCCTTTCACATTGTCATTATGGGGTATTGTGTGCAGAATTTTGAGGAAATAAATTATATTAATCAATTTTGGAATAAGGCTTTAACATAAAAAAATGTGGAAAAAGTGAAGCGCTATGAAGACGTTCCAGATGCAGTGTATGCTTTATAAATCCCTTATAAATGACAATTAAAGGCTCGGTTATATTCTACACCCAAACATAAGAAAAACAACTTTATTCATTTCTATTAATTTGAAAATACACAAATTAAACTATCAAGTGAAGATCACTAAGATGAATTGTTCATTTGTTACTGAGCCTTTAATTGTCATTTATAACTAAGGGGCTTATAAAACATAAATAGTCACTTTAAGTAAAAAAAAAAACAAATAATAAAGCATTTACAAACAGAAACAATTAACTACCTAATTAACTATTAGTATATGCCTAAATAATAATATATAAATGTTGATTTGAAGAGTTCATAAATCATTTACTAACTCAATCTGAATTATCTTAACTCCATCTACTCTTAAATACAAATGATTTGTAAATGATGGATTACTTAATTTAGTCAAGAAAAAATATTCAGTAACAAAGTGTGATAAGACAATCATTAACATACAAAAATATGGGAAAAGAAAAGCACTATGAATACTTTCTGGATGCACTGTAAATAGTCCTCACTTTAGGTCACAAAACTGGATAAAGTTGAGTTAATAAAGTATTTATAAACATTTATTATTAGTATATGCCTGAATAATAAGATATATACATGTTGATTGGAGTAGTTTATTAATCATTTACTTGCACATTTGGAATACTCTTTAAAAACCAGCAACTCTCAAGTAACTGGTTAGTTAATAATGCTTTAATTTAGTCATAAAAATATAATAAAGTATGAAAACAATCATTAAGCATGTTATATAGATGTCAAGAATATAGCATTTGTAGCTGCAGTTATAAACTGCTTACTAACATCTGTTAATTGTAGAGTTAATGCTTAACACATAATGAATTCACTAATTGTTAATGTTTAATAGCTGATTCATAGTGTGTAGGTATTATACTACAACATGTTTTAGTTGAAATTAAATCAATAGTCTTCCTAGCAGGGTCAGAAATTAACTTTTCCATCAAGAGAGGATTGATTTCTGGAACTGATTTCCGAATGTAAATTAAACATTTGAAAAAGGAGCTCACCGTGACGCTGCAATATTTCTAAAAAAAAAATCTTGGTTGATTGCAATTAATTTTTAGTTTTAGTTTTCATATACAGTTGAAGTCAGAATTATGTATATTTTTTCAACACATTTCTAAACATAATAGTTTTAATAACTCATTTCTAATAACTGATTTCTTTTATCTTTGCCATGATGACAGTACAAAATATTTTAGTTATTTTTCAAAACACTAGTATTCAGCTTACAGTGACATTTAAAAGCTTAAATAGGTTCACTAGGAAAGTTAGGGTAACTAGGCAAGTCATTGTATAATGGTTTGTTCAATAACCAATCGAAACTAAATATTACTTAAGGGGTTTAATAATATTGTAAATAAATAAATTATAAATAAAAAAGAAATAAATAATAAATAGTAAAAACAAAATATATTTAAAAAAAAAAGAATTTAAAGAAGGGCAAATAATGTTGACTTAAACTGTACATAAAATAAAAAAGCACGTTAACATCCAGCTACAATTTTTGAAAAATGTATTAATACAGAAGTGCCAAAGGTATGTCTTAGCTCCAGCACTTTTATTTTCAGTGAGATTATAACAATAATCTAAATGTGATACCACTAATTGTGCAGGACCATTTTTTGCCTTCTTACCTTGAATTTGTAAAGCATTTTTGTCACAAGGCCCTGTTAATTTCCGACCCTGCCTCCCAGCATGCTACAGAGAGATTAAATCATGTTACTTCACTAAATAAATAGAATAATTGCCATGTGAACTTTGAATAAGATCATTTAAACGTGCGCAATTTAAATGAAGATGTTGCTGGGTGTGATTGAGCTGAAATAAATTCTGTGCTAATTTTGTCATGATTTAACATAGCTTGCAGTAAACTGTAACTGGAAGCTTATATCACACATCAAGTTCAATTCTGTCAATAGCAACTTGTCATTTATAAAAATACAGTCAAGTTTGTGTAAGAATATATTTAACTTTAAGCGCATATATATATACACACACACACACACACACACACACACATACACACACACACACATATATATATATATATATATATATATATATATATATATATATACACACACACACACACACACACACACACACACACACACACACACACATATATATATATACACACACACACACACATATATACACACACACACACATATATATATATATATATATATATATATATATATATATATATATATATACACACACACACATACACACATATATATACACACACACACACACACACACACACGCATACACACATATATATACACACACACACACACACACATACACACACACACACATATATATATATATATATATATATATATATATATATATATATATATATATATATATATATATATATATATATATATATAATTTTTTTTTTTTAATATAATTTCATAAAAGTGTCACTGCTGAAGAAATGTGCAAATATAAAACAACTTTACCTCAATAGCCAAAATACAGTGAGGTGTTTATAAGAAGTGGTAAACTTTTAAAGCCAGACCTGATGTAATATATTTCCTAATGTTAAGTTTGTCACTAAAAATGAGAGACTGAATCGTTTATCTAATATTTTGGTATTGTACAACTTCGATCATAATTTACAAAAATATTTTCTGAGGTAACGTTGGTAAAAAGTTCTGAAGTTTGAAATGCAAAAGAAGAACTGATGAAAAACTCAGGTAAAGTTAGTTTTTATTCACACAATTGTTCAGTGACAACTTGTCGGAGCGTATATATAGTTGTTTACCATGGTACTTTGAATATTCAATCTGAAATCACATGGAAGTACAACTTCAAAACAACATCAGCACCGTACACTACCTGACAAAAGTCTTGTCGTCAATCCCAGTTGTAAGAGCAACATATATTAACTTGACTTCTAGTTGATCATTTGAAAAAGTGGCAGAAGGTAGATTTTTCCAGTGAATAATCTGTTGAACTGCATCCCAATCATCACAAATACTGCAGAAGACCTATTGGAACCCGCATGAACTCAAGATTCTCACACAAATCAGTCAAGTTTGAAGAAAAAAAAATCATGGTTTGGGGTTACATTCAGTATGGGGGTGTGCGAGAGATTAGCAGAGTAGATGGCAACATCAACAGCCTGAGGTATCAAGACATTTGTGCTGCTCATTACATTACAAACCACAGGAGAGGGCACATTCTTCAGCAGGATAGCGCCCTTTCTCATACATCAACCTCCACATCAAAGAAGGTCAAGGTGACAAGATTGGCCAGCCCAGTCACCAGATAGATGAAGGAGGCATTGGAAATGAATCCAATGAATGTTGATGAACTCTAGGAGTCCTGCAAGAACGCTTTCTTTGCCATTCCAGATGACTATTAATAAATTATTTGAGTCATTGCAGAGATGTATGGATGCAGTCGTCCGAGCTCATGGTAGTCATACACAATATTAATTTAATCACTGCACCATGACTTTATATTCTTTACTGTACATTATTTATATAAAATCAAGGCATGGTCATGTTTTATTTTGGTTATATAAGGACAATCTAGAGCACAGGTGTCAAACTCAGTTCCAAAAGGGCCGCAGCTCTGCACAGTTTAGTTCCAACCCTAATTAAACACACCTGATCAAACTAATTGAGTCCTTCAGGCTTGTTTGAAATCTACAAGTAAGTGTGTTGGAGCAGGGTTGGAAAAAAACTGTGCAGGGCTGCGGCCCTTCAGGAATTGAGTTTGACACTCCTGATCTAGAGGCTTTTGCCTTTCATACAACGTTAAGCCACGTTCTTATACCAAATGATCAATTAGATGTCAAGTTATTTGTTGTTCCTAAAACTTGGATAGGTGACAAGACTTTTGTCAGGTAGTGTATATTTGTCATTGGCTGATAATATGATTTCCCAATTTAGAATTTGCAAATAATACTTTTCTTGAAGGTTATTATGAAGAATAAAGTCTGAATGCATCAATGTAAAACTAACTTTACCTCAATCAATGAAAACAATTTAGAGAAGAATCAATATCACACAGAACACTGTCAATTTTATGGCATTTAGTGAAATAAATTCCCTGGGCAAGCACTGTTATATGACTGCACTTGAGAAAGGTTTTACACATGTTTAAATCCCCTCAGATACCTTCTGTGTTCTGTGGCGGGGTCGAGAAAGTCCATCACTCGCATATATTTCCATTGCTTCTTTTTCTTAGCAGCTCGTCCACTACGACTGCCGTCCTGCTCCAGTCGCTTTTTCCTGGTGTATGTGTCTCTGAGGTTTTTCCATTTAGCTTTCACCTCTTCCACTACACAAACAAACGCACAAACGTTTGGTGATGATGGTGTTTTAGCGCGCTGCCTGCACCGCTACACAACAAGCTGCAGCAAAACAAAACTCACCGTCGACTCCCATTTTGTCTGCTATTCCTTGCCAGAGCGCTTCTTTCCGTTTCGTGTTTTTGTACTCGCTGTGGTTCTTATCAAACAGTTCCTTGTTCTCAGAAACCAAAAACAACAACAGCTCAGCGTCCATCTTGACTACCATACTTCTTCTGACTGAATAGTGAGTGGGTTTGTGAATCGGCGCCATCAAGTGTGCGGGAGAGACATTTCTGAACATGTGACTTAGAATATTTATTATTTATTTATTATTACATTTTTTTAAATTGAAGCATATAACTGACAAGCATATAGGATTATATGATAACATATGTAACAATAATGCAAACCTTAGTGATGCAGAACATACTTTAAACAAAAAAGTGTAACATATATATGAGGGGATCCATCGTATTTAAATTATTAGATTGTACAGATAATTTTTTCATTATTAGAGAGGTTTTAATAGCTATCTTGTTTCTTGTAATTGAGGTCAAAGATTATAAAATATTTTAAAATCTTTACAGAAAATCAATTAATTAAAATTTAATTTAAAAATTGAAGGAGGGAGTAATAGACATTACTTTTGCCCTGTGAAACATCCCAAGAAAAATAATCAACTTCAAAGCATTGTCGAGTGTATCATAGCCAGTTTTACCATTCAAAAAAAGAATCATGCATTTGTCAAAATTAATTATTTTGTAAAATGAATCAAAAATCAACCTTGAAACCTGTTATCAAAACTTTTTAGGACATTTACAAGTACAAAATAGATGTACAAAACTTTCAGGCTCAGTGGTACACAAAGAACATTGTGGTGAAATGTCAGTTTTAAATTTATTAATAAATATATTGCAGGAATAATACCCGTGTAATATTTTGAAATGAATTCCTTTTACCTTATTTGGGAGTAAAAACGTATTACTTGACGTGACGTAGAATATTCAGTGTGATACAAGTCCAGAGATATGAATAATGAGTAATTAGTTGTTTCTTGGGCCAAATCTCAACAAGGTGTGTATAGTTCAATAAATCACAACTCTTTTAAATTAAAAAGAAAATAGTAAAATCATTAATACATACCTCAAGCCTAACTTGTACATGCCCATATTTCTTTATCTTCCTGAGACCCAAAGAAAATTATCTTTTTTTTCTTCTTTTTTTCTTTCTTTTGATTTCCTACATTCTTTGGGTTAGTTATTTATTATTATATATATATATATATATATATATATATATATATATATATATATATATATATATATATATATATATATATATATATATATATATATATTATTTTTTTATTTTTTTTTACATTTTTAATTCTACAGCATGTCCACTGTAGTGGACCACAGGACCATTTTAGTTCGAAACGACCGCCACTCAGACAATAAAACTGTACAGGATATGGCTGTATAGGGATATTATATGGAAGCGTATGAGTAGCATAATTCAATTCAAAATGTGATATGCAAAATGGCAATGCAATATGTTAAATGGCAATGTATTTCTGTATTTAAATTTGCATTTTCCAAGACATATGAGCAATGTTTGGTGCAGAATGAAAATGTAAATTAAATTACATTGTTTGCATTTCTCATTTTAAACACTGTTTTAATATGTAAATTGTATCCACATTTTAAAGCTTTATAAGTTGCAAAATTAAATTGAAAATGCTATACACAGACTGAATTTGATGTGAATAAAGTACAAGCAGAAACCGTAGCAAAATAATCATTTAAATGTTAAATGATAATCTACAGCCAATGAGAGAGCAGCATCCACTAGTGTGGGTATCTGCAGACCAGCGGGAGGTTGGGGGAGAAGTTAAAAGCGCTTCTTTTTGGTCTATTTGGACCCAAAAAATGAAGGAAAAACTAGTGGACATTTGGCAGGAGCACCCGTTTCTGTTTGACGTGTCATCTGAGCAATACCACAACCAGATCAAAAGAGAAAAAAGTGAAAAATCCTTATTTCCCTTATTTCCCTTTCTACCCCACTAAAGGCTTCTTTCTCATTATGTAGTTAACAAAACATATACTATGTGACCTCAAATTGTTTCCATGTCACTTACGTGTGTTTAGTTGTTAGACGTAGTTTGTGGACCAAGACAAAGTTGTCTGTGGTTCTTCCTATTGTAAAGTCATGCAGTGTGAAAACCTCTGTTGTTGATCCATCCTAAACCTACAGTGTGAACACAGCAGCGACAGATTGCTAATGAAAAATATCTAGTAACATTTTATTTACATTCATCATGGCAAAGCTAAAATAAATCAGTTATTGGAAATCAGTTATTAAAAATATTATATTTAGAAATGTGTGGAAAAAAATCGTCCGTTAAATAAAAATGGGAGAAAAAAAATTTAAAGGAGGGCTAACAATTCTGACTTCAACTGTATATCTACATAAAAACAAAAATATTTCAGATTTTTCCATTAAGATCCTATATTATTGATGAATCATCAATGTAGTTGCATAGTTACTTGAGTCTATGTGTGCTTCTTAATAGTTGCTGCTGATTGGCCCATTCCCGAATGAGCTGATTGGCAATGGCATATGAAGGTGGGACCCAGAACACAGGTGGCTGTTCTCTTGGGTTGCGTGGAGGATTCTGCAGTGCTGTTGTTATTTCTTCTAAAGTGAACCAGCGAGCATCCTCAAGTTCAGCCTTGTCTATATTCACCTATGCATCAACACAGTGAAAGTGGTTAAAACACAGCAATGTCTCTCTTTACCATTGCTGTCATTGGATTAAATGGGAATACATTTTGAAAGGTCTGAATATTTGTAAAGGGTCAAAAACGGTAACTGCCTGCTAAACATGTTAGTATCTGGAAATAAAACTGACAAGAATACTGTTAATATTTTAACAAATTTATAAATATATATTTTAAATTATAGATGTGATTCAAAGCAAATCCATTCATCTAAATTCACCTAAAAATAGCTCTGAGACGTTCTTTACAATCAAGTTTGCTGATAGATAAATAAAACAATAAAAAACATAGATTAATAATTGAATTAAACATAACATGAATAAAATGTAATGTACAAATTATACGAATTCCAATAGTACAAAAAAAATTATATATAAGCAATATCACACGAGTAACTGTGATATGGCTGTATATCGGCACTGGTAGGAGGCGTGCGCTGGCTTAAAGTCACAGGCTGAGTGCCTTAGTGTCCCACCAGTGACGATATACAGCCATATCGCACTGCTACTCGTGTGATATTGCGCTTATCCAACAGTTCAACAGCATAAACATGTGTACATATATATATATATATACATATATATACATATATATATATATATATATATATATATATATATATATATATATATATATATATATATATATATATTTTTTTTTTTTTTTTTTTTTTTTTTTTAATCGAACACAAGAGTCTAAAAATCCTTTTGTATGAGGAACTACTTTCTTCCACCATTCATTCACATCTGCAGCTGACATTAGTACAGCAGAAACCGTTGCTACTATACCAACATCACTTTACAGCTAGTATTTGAATGATTCTTTAGCGTAATGTCTAAAGTGATGACAACAGGTAATTTTGCTTACATTTTAAGATTATAAGGCTGAACAGCATGAAATGCCATCAGTCTACAAAGATTTCCCAGTATTTCTCTGTTGCAATCAGGAGATTACAATAATTAACCCCGAAAAAGCCATGGCAAAGCAAACGTTAGCAGATTACTAGGATATAAATACAGAGTGATACAGAAGGGTGAGGAGGCTGTTTGAGTGCTTTTATTGCAGAATACCTCACGCTATCAGCCGATCAGATTAGATATACCATATGAAAAAACAAAAACTGCATACATATCAACATAATAAAATTCAGGTAAGTAAATAAAAATTGTACATTAATTCTCTTTAACCAAATTATGTAATAGTTTTAGTGCTGGACAACAATTAATTGCATCTAAAATAAAAATGTCTGATTTGACATAATATATGTGAGTGTATTATATATTTATCATGTATATGTGATGTACACACGTGCATAAAAACAAAACTATCCAAATCAATTGTTTTACATAGAAATTTAAATTTCATTTTCATGAAACAACTGAGCCACAGTGCCGCCTATATTTAAATTCATATAGTATTAATTATTGTTATTTTATTATTATACATTGTGTTTATATAAATAAGCATGTTCTCAAATATATGCATGCATGTGTTCTTTTATATATAGAGTACATAATAAATATGCACAGTACACACACATATATTATGTCAAAAATAACTTTTATTTTGAAACTGTTTTTGTTTGTCTTACTTTAATAAACAGTTAAAGGCATTGTGCAGGTCTCACCTGTGTTTTGTTTGGGTTTACCGTGGCGTGACAGGCTAACATAAAGGAGCTTTGTGGGAATGGCCAGTGCTGTGATCCAGAGTACTGAAGATTCTCCACCTCTAACCCCACCTCTTCTGCCACCTCTCTGTGCAGCGCCTCCTCCACTGACTCTCCTGCAACATCATTTCAGAAAATACATCAGGTCAAAATAACCTGACTGTAAAACAACCAACTGCACTTAAAAGAACACTCCCCTTTTTTGGAAATAGGCTAATTTTACAGCTCCAAATTAGTTAAAAATTTGAGTTTTACCATATTTTAATCCATTTAGCCGATTTTCAGGGGCCTCATGTATCAACGCTGCGTACGCACAAAAACTTTGCGTACGCCAGGTTTCACGCTCAAAATCGCTCACGTTTGGATTTACTAACAATGAACTGAACGTGTGAATGTGCGCAGCTCCACACCAGCTTTCTGGCTGGCGTACGCACATTTTTTGTGCGTGTCTGTTTTATTTCCATTGGCGACTCCTAGAGGCAGTTGTGTTAAATTCCTCTCTACAAAGTGTCGGAGCCTTGCAATGGCAGCTGTATGAGACGGGTTCATCTAGTAGGTATGTAAGGTTTCCATACCATACAGTTGACCAGCTAAACATTAAAGCGCAATTTGCAGCGGTCGCCTGTTTTCCCAATGTAATCTGAGTTATCTACTGCACGCACATTGCTATAAAGACACTATCTGAAGATGAATTTGCATGCGTGAATCAGAAACATTTCCATTCAATAAATGTGCAAATAAAATTGATGCACAAACTTATTATTGATTCCTACTTGTCTTTCTCGGGATAAATAGTTGGCAAAATCTGATATGTAGCGGGGGAAAAAAGAGGAAAGAGTTCATCAGACGCTGGATTCGAACCGAGTTCATGCTCGAACGTGTCAAAACATGTTGACATGCGTCTTACGAGCTGCGTCACTAAGACTGTTAAGGGTACCGAAACATTTTACACCTATAAACCACACTATTTCTTTTTTAATTTACTACTTAAACTCTCCTATTCTATTTTTTTCTTTTGTTGTTTATTCAGGAAAACAAACTTGCAAATAACACCGCTTTTCTCCGGTCTACCTCCGAAAGCAGCACCACCAATTCACATTCTGTTCAAAGTTTCTCTTTTTGCTTGATTTTGCCGTTGCTTTTTCGTTGGGTTTTGCCATTAGCATAGTCATTAGCATATTCATACGGGGGAGGAGGCAGGGAGGGGTTTTGTGCTCGTGCATGTTGCGCTCAGTTTCACGTTCATTCGGATGTACAAAAGAATATGCGTGAGATTCGGCGCACGCAGTGTTTCATACATCTGAATTTTTTTCTGCGTACGCACATTTACAGCTTTGTGCGTATGCAATGTTTTAGTATGATTTCCACGCAAGTCTTCGTACATGAGGCCCCAGGTCTGGTGAAGCACTTTTAGCTTAGCATAAATCGCTGAATCGGATTAGACCTTAAAATAGATCAGAGTTTCTTCATCATACTCTGCAGTTTAAACAGGTCTTTGTAAACAAGACTTTTGGGGGATGGCTTGTGATGTGAGTGGGTTTATTTTATTTTATTTTTTTCTTTGCATATGTAACATGTAGACAAAATTTGTAGAGTGAAGAATGCTTTCTTCTGAATCTTTGTCTTTAATAAAAACTTATTTTACAAAAAAGACCAGAGTTTCAATAAGCTCAACACTTCTTTATTTATATTGTTTACTAAAACCGAGGGAAAAGCAAAAGTTGTTATTTTCTGGGCCTATGTGGCTAGGGACTATAATTTCATACTTATACTTTCATTTCCTTTCAACTCCAATCATTTTACCCCATCTGAAATAAAAACCCAAAACCAGGCTCCCTTCTCCTCCTCAGCCCACCACATGAAAATCTCAAAACATTATGTAATTCTGAGTGTCTCACAAAGGTAAGTGGGCTTGACAAACCACCTGTATAAAACACACTCTTTCATCACTCTGACACTTTAACCAACACTTGCACAGGTGTTGCACATAAGTTACACAAGTGTTTCAGTAATACTAGCCTGATCTCACAAGGTAATGTAACATGTAATGTATTTTTAGGTTTGGTCAGTTTAGAGCAGAGGTCACCAAACTTGTTCCTGTAAGGCCGGTGTCCTGCATATTTTAGCTCCAACCCTAATCAAAAACACCTGAACAAGCTAATCAAGGTCTTACTGGGTATAATTGAAACAATCAGGCAGGTATGTTGGAGCTAAACCCTGCAGGGACACCGGCCCTCCAGGACCGAGATTGGTGACCCCTGGGGTTCGATCCGAGAGTTGTTGTCATAGCAACAGTTCTGCTAGCTCAAACCTGATCGGGAGCAGGTTCAAATCATATTAACAGGATTAGATCGGCTCAGTGCATGCAAAGATAATAGAGAAAAGTATGTATGTAATAGAGAAAAGAAAGTATGTACCGAATTCTGATATTTTCTTACAGTAGTTATATACACTTGGGAAAATAGTAAATATATTTTAACTATATATATATAAAGTTATAGTTATTAATAAAATAAATAAAGTTATATATATTAATAAAACGTATGCAATCTGCACCCCCGAAATAAAAGTTCAAAGACTGCCACCTGGTGGTGCAAAGAGAAAACTTATTAATATGAACTTTTTAGATCGCTAAAGTACAAATTGTGTATGATAATAGAAATGCAGAATATGTGACTTTTAAAACAATAAATAATAGATTAATGCAGTCGTAAACATGTTTTGGCAGTTAATATGCCAGTGATTTGATGCTTTACAAAAGTTGCAGATACCTTTCACAAAATCAAAATGCTTTTGTAAACAACCAGTTATTCCATAAAGTGATTAATAAACCGGCTACTATAATAAAGAAAATCTTTTCTTAATGTAGAACTAAATACATTGATATGCATTGAAATACATGATGAATACTCTTGACACAAGTGTAAAGCCTGCAGTTCACAACAAATGTGGAAAGTTATTGCGTGTTATCTTTAACAAACGGTTTACTCCTAATTTGATGTAATTTTGCTCACATGGATAATTGAATATTAATCAGATGATGTCATTACGCTGCTGTGCCATCAGCCAATCATGGCATTGCTGATGATTCATGATTTCGAGGATCGACAGATCTGTTCTTCACAACACACGCAGCGATCTCAGATCAGTTCATCCAGACATTCTAATCTGATTCGCGAACTTGTTTGAAGAACCAAATTAGAGAGAGGTCAGTTATCAAGATTAAAAGATCCAGCATCTGCCAAATCATTTTGGATCATTTTAGCGAGGTACGAAGAACGGACCCCTGGTTTAGTGGCAAATTCACATGAGTTCAGTCATACGAAAAAGTAAAATTTTTAAAAGAAGGCATGGCACCATAACCCATCCCTTAACCCAACACTCATTGGGGGAGGAGCAAATCGTACTCAATTATATGAATGAGATCATACACACATGAATTAGCCACTAAAAAGTTACAAATTGCCATGAGACTGCATTGGTAATCCAGTCAGTCAGTAAGTAATCTAGTTGGCAAGTCCTGAGTAGGGTTGCACCAGCTGCTCATAAGTTCTTTCTTGCACTGGAACGTAAAGTCCTCACCAGAGGCTTAATAACTACTGGCTAGATTGTAATAAAATTTGTTCTTACCTCAGTTGCAGCACATGTTCTTAAGTCAAACAATAGTTAGTAGGTCGTAAGCTCTCTGTAAAGTCATGCGTAGTAGCACTGAATGACGTAATATCCAATAAAAAGCATTTCAATCATTAAACTGCTCTTGTGCATTAAACTAATGCATCTATATACACTACCTGACAAAGTCTTGTCGTCTATCCCAGTTGTAAGAGCATTAAATAATAACCTGACATCTAGCTGCTCATTTGGAAAAGTGACAGAAGGTAGATTTTTCTGATAAGAATCCTGCACAAAATCTATTGGAACCCGCGTGGACCCAAGATTCTCATAGAAATCAGTCAGGTTTGGTGAAGGAAAAATCATGGTTTGGGGTTACATTCAGTATGGGGGCTTGCGAGAGATCTGCAGAGGGGATGGCAACATCAACAGCCTGAGGTATCAAGACATTTGTGCTTCTCATTACATTACAAACCATAGGAGAGGGCACATTCTTCAGCAAGATAGAAGCTGGTCAAGGTGCTCCAGGATTGGCCAGCCCAGTCACTGGATATGAAGATTATTGAGCATGTCTGGGGTGAGATGAAGGAGGAGGCATTGAAGATGAATCCAAAGAATCTTGATGAACTCTGGGAGTCCTGCAAGAACGCTTTCTTTGCCATTCCAGATGCCTTTATTAATTATTTTTAATAGTTTTTTTAACTATTAATTAGTTATTTGAGTCATTGCAGAGATGTATGGATGCAGTCCTCCCAGCTCACGGGAGTCAAACACATTATTCATTGTTTTTCCACTGCAACATGACTTTGCATTCCATGCAGTACATTATTTCTGTTAAGTGACACGACTTTTGTCTAAGCAAAGTCAGAGCTTATTGTCCTAATTAAATAATTAAAAATTAAGGCATGGTAATATTTTATTTTGGCAAAATAAGCGGAATCTAGAGGCCTTTGCCTTTCATATAAACCAACATCCTTCTGACCCCAAATGATCTACTAGATGTCAAGTTATTTGTTCTTCCTAAAACTTGGATAGGTGACAAGACTTTTGTCAGGTAGTGTATAACTGTCCTATGAAAGTGAAATGACAAATAACATTTTGATAGTAGCTTACATTACATAAAAGTCAGTCACTATAACCGACAATGCACATACATGTGCACAAGCCATGGCATGAATTTATCTGCTCTCACTTCTGCAGATCTATGTGCCCTCCAGAAACTTGCGTTCTGTGAATGAACGTCGCGTCGTGGTTCCATCCCAAAGAGGGAAGAAATCACTTTCGAGAACGCTCACGCTCAATCTGCCCAGATGGTGGAATGAACTCCCTAACTGCATCAGAACAGCAGAGTCACTCGCTATTTTCAAGAAACGACTAAAAACTCAACTATTTAGTCTCCACTTCACTTCCTAATCTGAAATTGCCTCTCTGGATATACCACTAACTGTACTCAAAAAAAACAAACAAAAAAAACAATTACTAATGCTTTCCTTCTTAGACTTTACAGACCTGAAACTCGCCTTTAGTACTTATTCATTGTTGCTCTTATAGTTGTGTAAATTGCTTCCTTGTCCTCATTTGTAAGTCGCTTTGGATAAAAGCGTCTGCTAAATGACTAAATGTAAATGTAAATATAAATGAATACATGCAAAATACACATGCAGTTAAACTTGATTTATATATAAATAAATTAATTAATTAATTTAAACGTTTTAAATTAATGGATACAATTAACATAAAACACTCCTTAAAAGAAAAATTAAACTCTTCTTTCACAGACCAAAAAAAAAACTGCCAGGTTTGGGAGGAAAACAAGGCTTTGAGTAGACGGAAATCCTTCTTCATTAATGACGTGAGCTCTTCAATGCGCAATGTAAACTAATGTTGTGGTCATCTCTTTTCTACCAATATACATGGGGGGATGCTAATGTAAATATTCAGTAAGAACGTAGCATTAGGTTTAAGCTAAGTTTAGTGAAACACAAAAATATTTAGTAGTGTGTCAGTTGTAACTTAGAGTCCCTTTAAGTCTAAGTTTTAACTTACGCACTGCTGACGCAACCGGCCTCTATCTCCATCCTGAAAACCATGGTATTCACTGGGGTTCCCAAAAGTTTGTACATGATTGTATTTGATACATCTTTTTATTAATTTTGGTTTCAAATCTTGTTTGCAGTCATCAATTATAAGTATGATTACTATCAGTATATGGCAAGTTTTGGTAATAAAAATACGTTTTAAAATTTTTGTACGTTTAAAATTAATGCACATTAAAAATCATGTACTTTTGTCGTGGTAATAAAGCGTGCCTCACCCATGTCACAGAAGCCAGAGAGTGCGCTGTACATGCCTGGAGGAAACATGGCCTGTCGCGCCAGCAGACACCTGCTCCCATCAGACACCAGAACAATCACCACTGGAGACATCTGCACAGAGACGTGTTCATGCAGTTAGTGGACAAACGAAACTGCTTTTTGCAGGATATTCAATGAGAAATTCAACTAATATCAACTACTATGTGATTAAATTGGTCACAATAAGGTTCAATTAGTTCATCTTAGTTAATGTAACTCCTGACATGAACAAACAATGAACAATACATAACAGTAGTTAGTCATCCTTATTAACTTTAGTTATAATAAATAAAGTTCATTGTTAGTTCTTGTTAACTCGCAATGATTAACAAGCAAAACCTTAAATTTTCAATAATGCATTATATATAGATTATCTATTTATAGTGTATATTCTTAGTTGATGTAAATAATGACATTACGTGTAACCAATTTGTTTTTACTATGGAGAAATTGCTCTCATCTGATTTATTTGTGTTCTGAAGATGAATAAAAGTCTTGTGATTTGGAAATAACACGACCGTGAGCAATCAATATTAGAATTTTCAATTTTGGGTGAAGTAACCATTTGAAAAACCTACAAACATCCTTATTGCTAGCATGAGATTTGTCTTTAAAGGGTACCTATGGTGAAAAACCTACTTTTCAAGCTGTTTGGACAGACATGTGTCGGGTATAGTGTATAGACAGTCATATTGGGGTGATATAAACACACCCAGTCCTTTTTTTCGATAAACCAACATAAAAACGATGGACCAACTGGAGCGGTTTTAAGACCGACCGCAACTTGACGTAGGAGTCCAGTCAACCCCCCCAACACCACCACCACCAATATTGATTGACAGGCGCGCATTACCATACCCTCAGTTTGTCGTTTCACGTCTGCCATTTTCAGCGTGTGAGTAAAAGCGATGTCACCAAAGAAACACCCTTGCTCTATTTTTGGATGTAAGGCTCATTGGGCTCAACACAAGAGCCTTCATCGTCTTCCTGCAAACCAGCAACAGAGATTTTACATTTAGCAGCCATTTGCGCTGAACATGCAGTGAATGCAACGTATCGAGATTCAGGTCATTAAAAACAGCTGATCCAACGAGTCTTTCAGCACTCTCTCCGAAAACACTCGGCTGGCGAATCAAAATTCACCACATGATCGCTCTCATTGGCGCCATTGTTTGTAACTTTAGGTGGGCTTGCAAACCTGTGTACTTTTCATTGCGTCTTCCTTAAACTTCAGCCGTTTGCATTTCCCGTGGTTACAGAAGCTCCGTCATCTCAACTAGGAGCGGCCGTAAATGGTGAGTGCGTTCCTCCAATGGAAATAACGAACTTGCCTCAGTTATAGCCTCAGTTAAAGTAAATCCAGTGTGCATGGTTATTAGTCTTGGTGTACAAGCTCTGAACTTTAAACTAGCACACAGTTGGCATAACTTTGTGTAGTTGATGCAGTTTTGTTCCGTACAGAAACGCGGTGTTGAGAAACCTTTAATATTAATTAACTGTGACGAATTAAACTGCGGTTAATAGTGAAAGCAGTCAATCGTTGCATCTCTATACGGATAACACATGCACCGTTACATAGCGGCTGGAAAACTAAACAAAGACACAAATGATTTTGTAACTACCACTTTGACACATTCATGGTCTGTGTCCGAGTCATACATGTACGGCTGAATGCTGGTCCTCTCACTCATGTTGCTTCTCTCTGTCTGCCGGTCTTTTGCAATTCACAAAGCAGGGGAGCTCTTGGCTCTGCCGCCTTGTTAAGTTGGGCGGGAAGTCGAAACTAATTTTCATGTGAAGCAACACACCCCTAAAACAACGACCTGTGTAGACGCCCCCAAAATGACACTTTTTAACACATTATAAAAAAAACCTGAATTGTGTTTTGAACTGAACCTAAACTGGTACACTCAGAAGAACCATAATATAAAATCTTTGAAAAAAAGGGTAAAATAAGTGCCCTTTAAAAAGTTATTGTGTCTGATTACTGGTACAATCTATTATTGTACCATAGTAGACTTCATAATCGTTACTGGAATTCTTTAGAAAAATCAGAACACTAATCCTATCAAATGGCATGCATGTGCACACGGACAGTTATCTTGTTGTCGTACACAGTGAAAAGCATCTGCTTACTTTAGGGTAGTAGGTGATACCACTGCTTTGGCAAACTCTAAAACTTCCTGATTGGTTCCTGGTGGTGGGCTGCCCTGTGGCACTACAGAAGCCATTGGTCTGGTGCCATCGGAGGAGAGCTTGGCCCTTTAACAAAAAAAACAACAACAGAAAATCAAACTGCATTTGCCCTTATGGGCTCTATTTTGACGGTCCATGTGCAGAGCACAAAACGCAAGGCATTAACGCTTTTAGGGCGTGTCAGGACGCATTTTTGCTAATTTAAGGACGGTAAATCTGCCTTGCACCGTGGCTCATGGTCTAAAAGGGTTGAGTATATTTTCTTAATGAGTTATAGGTGTGTTTTGAGAATAAACCAATTAGAGTCTCATCTCCCATTCCCTTTAAGAGCCAGCTGCGTCGCTCCATAAGCGCATTTGCTATTTACATAAAGTAAGTGGAAAAACTGAGCATTTCACAAGCAAACATTTAAAAGTTTGTTTTAACAGAAAACAGTTAAACAGAGCAGCTACCGCGCAAGAATGAGAGATAATGGATCTACTTTCACTTTCGCTCTTGGATAGGGAAACCTTTATGCACAGACATTAATTAGTCTATAAATAATTAATTTTGTTTGTTAAGCGCAAATATTCATTTCAAAACTATTTCTAAATTCAGTTCTAATTTCCAGCAAACAAATAAATGAATAATGATAACAAAGTGTGCTCAAAAACCTGAGTTATATCCCAAAACACATGCTGTGCCCCATATGGTCTAAAACCTGAGAGGTGGGCAAATCTAAGCTTGTTTTTAATAAAACAAATATAAATATGGATATAATAAATAAAACTGCTAATAATAATAACATTATACAAAAGCAAATTGTTATGAATGAACTGAAAAAGCCTCCCGAGATGAAGAAGACGTAAAAGCAGTGATTTTTCATATTTATGTAGGCTAGAAAATAATGTAATATTTTAATCCTTTATATTTATATCCTATATCTATTCTTATTATATACTATATATATCCTTAATATTTAAATTTTTTTCATATGTAAAGATATTTGCCTATTGCTCTCTTGTGCGTATTAAGCAGTGCATAAGCGAGGCGCTACTTTGTGCCGGAGTTTAGACCGGGTTAGTTTTGGTCTAATGAAAAATCTATTATAGATTCTCAAAATAGCAATGCGCCAGCGGTCCGCCTCAGAACGCCTTCCTTTTTAGACCAGAACACCTATGGACGCAAAAATGAGCGCTAATGCATTTGCTATTTAAAGAGCGTAGCGCAACGCCTCAAAACGACTCTTGCGCCAAGCTGAAACTACCAAAAGACTACTGCGCCACGCCTTGCGCCACACTGCGCCGGGTGTATGATAGGGCCCAAAGTCTTAATGTTAGACTTATTATCAATATTTAGCTTGGAAAGACTCTCCTTACATTATATTACTATGAGGATGACTAAGCAGCTTTCTGCCTCAAAGGCATTCATTGTGAGCTCATTTAAGCTTATCAATACAAATGTTCAAGTTAACTCCAATATGTTGTTTGCATGTACTTTTCAACTGCAACGAACAGTACTTGATTTGTGAGTTATTTGGTGATTATTGACTATACAACACATTAATGATGCCATTATGAGCAATGTATGTTTATTATAACAGTGTCATCATGTTGATTTCTATTATGTTACACACTTTATATCGTTTAAATGCCACATATATGTTTGAAATGTACATGATTAGTTTCAGTAATTATCAATGTGTGGTAATTTGTATTTTCTTCATTTATAGTAAACCACACATACACAAACACACCCATCAGCACACCAATTATAAATGCTGGGAAGTTCTACATCCATCAACCAGATTAAAGTTTGTTTTTTGAGAACTGGATTGTTGCACCTCTTTTTAATGGAAGAGCATGGCTGGAAAGCAGGAGCTAGTGTAACGCACACAGTAATAATCGCAAATAATGACGATATCCAAGAAGATAACATTAACATCCGTTGTAACCATGGTTTGCCTAGATTGTGTGTGCCAGATTGTGTTTGCCTAAAGTTTTTGTGGTTCTGCAGCTGGATATTATCGGTACTGGCGGAAAATGTTATCTTTTAATATTTTCATGGGTTTATCTTCAGATGTCATATTTTTAAAAGAAATGAAATTCACTGAGAGAGAGAGAGAGACAGAGAGAGAGAGAGAGAGAGAGAGAGAGAGAGAAAAAATCACATTACAAATTGTAATTTACAACCTATGCATACTCGCTTATCTTGCGGTTTCACGTCTATATCACAAAAGCCCCGCCCCTTCACATTAGGCGCTAAGTAATAGTACATTCGTAATTATTTTTTCGCTTACTATAGTCTTCAAAATGTACACCTGGTTAAAAACTGGCACTTTATAGAAGTCAAGTTACAGTAGGGATGAACCATCTACATAAGCCTCTTCTATGGAGACATCCAGCGGCCTTGAATATATGGACGAGGTGAAGAGGCTCAGGCGGGAACACAGAAATTCAGCAGAGATGTACTGATGAAGAGAATTAGGCCTACGCTAGAGAGTGACAAACGCAAATATAGCGACACTTACATTGGGTTTGGGTTTACATGGATTGGAGATGCAAAAATTCCAAATGGAATGTGTAGTCTGTGGAGAGGTTTTAGCTAATGGCAGTCTTAAGCCCTCATATATGGTGCGACACAGCCACTTACAAGACATGCCTGCAAGTTTTTTTTTTTCCAAGGAAAATTGGAGGAACTGCAGAAGAAGAAAAAAAGGAGGCCCAAAGAAGCAGTAGCTTTCATGCGAAAACTTGCACCATTGGTTTCATGGGTAAACTGCAGCATCCACCAAGTAGCTCTAGCTTGATAAAAAACATGCCATATTCAATTCAATTCAGCTTTATTTGTATAGCGCTTTTACAATGTAGATTGTGTCAAAGCAGCTTCACATAAATGGTCATAGTAACTGGAACAGTGTAGTTCAGTTTTTAGTTTTAAGTTCAGTACAGTTGTTTAGCTCAGTTCAGTGTGATTTAATCATTACTGAGAGTTCAAACACTGAAGAGCAAATTCATCAATGCGTAGCTCAACCAATCCTGAACCATGCGAGCCAGTGGCGACAGCGGAGAGGGAAAAAAAACTTCACCTGATGGGAGTGAAGAAAAAAAACCTAGAGAGAACCAGACTCAGTTGTGCATGACCATTTTAATTTCTCCGCTGGCCAAAAGTCTTGTGCAGAGCTTCAGTCACCGCAGATGAACTTTTGTCTGTACTTAATGATGCTGTGAAAATTATAAACTTCATAAAAGGTCACCCATTAAAACTGACATATTTTATTATTTTTATTTTAATTACGGAATCACAGAAAATGTGTATTTAGTTATTGTAGTTAAAAATGTGAAGTTTAAACGGTGCTTGATAGATGTCGAATATTAGAAAGAGGTGCACACAGCAAAAAGTTTGGGAACCACTGCAGTAATGTAAATGTTAGTCATTACACAGTAAGTAAATAAAAGGTTTTGAAGGCAAAAAAAAAAGTTCGCAATTACAACAGGTCAACTCACTTTTTAGTTAAGCAATTATCAATTTTTACAGTGTACATACTTTTGCAGCAAGAGCAGACTCTGATGGAGTTATCATGAAGAAAGCTTTCCGGAGGTCCACAAATGTACCTCTGCACTCCTGTTCCAATGCACTGCGCTCTACTTCACCTACAGTAAGAAGACATCTCCATGAGGACACAACACATACGAATGTCATATAAAAAACCTGTAAAAATCCACTTGGTTTTTCAAAAAATAATAAATTAAAAAAAAGTAATAAAAGGAGACCAATTCTGCAAAAATCTTTATTATAGTTTATAAGTGGCTTAACCCTTTCACACTTACAATCACACCGGTGTCAGAGTATATACAGCAATCAGAGAGTGAAATTTAATACCTATTACATATTTTTAAAGAATCGTTCCATACATTTTAAGACCGTATGACCCCTTTTCAACCGGAAACACTGGCGAGATATCTTACAGTACATTTACTAAATATTAATGTAAGAAATGAATCCAAAACTAAGACATTATTCATATACTGAATAAAAATAGATTAAATCTAGCTAAATCAGCAGGTTGGCACCTATCGATCTGCATTAGTAATGGTGTTGCTTTGGTTATTGCAGTAAACAAAGCAGCATGATGTCAAATCTAGCAGGATTTCATTGATTTCATAAACTACACAGCATCCTGATATTCGTAGATTTAATTTAGGCCAACTTTAGCACACAATTATACATTGCAAAAACAAAAATGATGCACAATTTAAAACTTCTCTATACTGATTTATCAACTTTTAATACTTTTTAAGACCCCGCAGACACCCTGAGTGTGGTGAGAGGGTGAAAAAGGTGAAGTCTAGATAGAATACAGCTGAGGATACTCGCGTCAATAAAGTGTAATTTTTACTTTCTTTCCTTAATGTACCTAATATTTCTTTATAAGGACCGAAAAACTGACTATTCTGTAGAATGATCCATGTATCTTCATTAGATTTAGCATAGTGTAGAAATACATGACTGTTTTAACTGACCCACTTCCAGAGAGAACTGGGGTTCACTCTTGTCGGTGCATCCCAGAAGAAGTGATTCATTAATAAAGTGTTTGTCCTTTCCAACCTTCTCAAGAATTTGTTCCAAATCTAGAGACATCAGGAAACACAAAATATACATTTAGATCCAGTATCTTCTAACTTTTGTGGTGGAAATATTCATATGCTGGTGTACTGAGACCTGCGGTTTTGAAAGAAGCCACTTTGCAAACCCCACTTCTGGTCTTCTGCAGCAGAGGAGCGAGTTTATGATACAGTAAAACATTGGCAAATTTCAGCGCCTCTCGGCACGCCTCATCATCTTCCTTTAATCTCATAAGATACCTAAATGTAAAGATTTTACATTATTTTCAGCAGTTAAGGTAACGAAATTATCAATAATTTTAAAGTAAAATCATAAGTAAATCAAAAGTTGAGGTGGATATTCAATTTCTGCTAATTATTTAATTCACCTAAAAATGCTTTTTACAAATGAAAACAAAAAAAACTGTTTTAGGACTGTTTGCATTATAAACTCATTGATATTTCATTTTTCTCACAGAATAAATTACAAATTGTGTACAAATGTCATATTGCATAATGATGATTTAAAAAAATATTAAATTAGCTGTCAAATATAAATTCTAATATTTATTCAATATACACTGTAAAGAAATGCTGGGTCCCACACAAACCAATTGTGTTGGAAAAACATGAAAAAAAATGATGTTAACTCATCAAAAAATGATGTTAACTTTTTATGAATTTAAATGGATTAAACATAAACAAGTATGTTGTGCCCCCCCCCCCCCCCTCAAAAAAAATAAAAAATAAAAAACTCCAGAACTGTGTTGTTTCAGCTCAATTTAAATAAGTAATCAGAACAAAAAGCAAATGTCATTTTTTATGTAGATTACAATCTTAAATGGTCTTACTTTTGATTTTAGGGGCTGTGCATGTTCTTGACAGCAGTGGTGTAAAGTAACTGATTACAAATACTTAGGTTACTGTAATTGAGTAGTTTTTCCTCAGAAACTGTAATTTACTAAGTAGTTTTAAAAATGTGTACTTTTACTTTTCCTTGAGTACATTTTTAGTACAGTATCTGTACTTTTACTCTAACTACTTTCCTTCAACCTGCAGTCACTACTTTATTTTTTCTTGTTTATGGGGATTAGAAAAATCAGTCCTGTAATTCCTTTCCAATCAAATCACACATAGAAGGTAAATTGCATCATAATGAACTACTTCAAGACATGTGCACCTTACATTGCAGCAAACTGTTGGAAGCATTAAGTGTCCAAGAAGATGTTCAAAATCTTTACACGCATTGACCCAGAGACTGTTTAGATCAGGGATGCCCTAACACAGTCCTGGAGGGCCGATGTCCTGCAGATTTTAGCTTCATCTTGCCACAACATACCTGCACGGATGTTTCTAGAAAGCCTAGTATGAGATTGATTAGCTAGCCCAGGTGCGTCTAATTGGGATTGGAACTAAACTTTGAAGGACACCGGCCCTCCAGGACCGAGTGAGGGCACCTCTGGTTTAGATGCATGTCACTGATGAGAAGATGATGGATATTTACTGTATGATGACCGAAATGGCCTTAAACACCTAGCAGACACAAGGCGTCAACATGCCTTCAGATTGAAATTGTACCCTAACGTCGTGGAGACGCTGCATTTTGTTTAGAAATGAAAATTCGGTTTACATCAGAACTCAACCTCAGCCTGATGTCCATGTCCAACCTAAAACCAACCAAATATCAGCGTCTAATGATGTTACAGCTTGACGTTGTGTCGACGTTACCACTATGACATCTATCAGACGTTGAATTTTGGTTGCCATAACTGATGAATAAATGTCAGTGTTTGACATCAATAGGATGTTGGTTTAAGATGTTGGCTTAACATTGGATTTTGGTCACTTTCTAACAACCTAAACCAACTAAATATCAACGTCATTAGATGTCATTATTGGACATAGTGTTGTCCTTAGAAGCTGACTAGACATTGAATTTTGGTCACCTGACATCACAACCTAAATCTAACCCTGTATTAACGTCTTATGACATTGTGTGCCTGCAGGGCAATAACTAAATGCACTACAGAATGTTACGTTTACACACAGAAACAAATTACATGTAAATGCATCAACTTTTAATGGCATAATACTCACTACTCATGAGTACTTTTAAAAGGGCTACTTTTTACTTTTACTTTGAGTAATATTTATAACAGGCACTTTTACTCTACTCACACTACTGTTTTAGGCAAGTAATGGTACTTTTACTTAAAGAGCCCATATTATACATGAAATAGGGTCATATCTTGGTTGTAAGGGTCTCCAACAACAGTCTAATATGCATGCAAGGTCAAAAAACACTTTCATGGTCTTATAATCTGCATTTATTTTTACCTAATTATCCCAGCGACTCCTGTATGAATCGTCCAGTGATTCATTTGTTCCCAAACCCCTCCTTAGCGCGGAGCTAATCTGCGCTGATTGGACCGATGACAGTCTGTCGCGATTGGTCGACTGCCTTCAGTCAGAGAGGGAAATGGCCAATAGCTAATCAGCAATTTAAAAAGTAATCACAGTTCATACACGCTCGATAGTGTAGGCGTGGATTTTAGCTGCCACACTATGGCGAGTGGATAGTGCCACGGATAACCGAACGAAGGAGACAGTCGTGTACTCGCCATACCACACACACACAAAAACACACACACACCTCCGGATGACAACGCTCCCACTTCAGCCCGCACCCGCCAGGTTTTAGCCTGAGAACCCGCTCCGTTTTCTGCCCGCCGCGCCCGGTCCCGCTAGAGCGGAGAACACAACCAAATATCACCCAGTATACAGTCCAGACAGCCAAGCTGTCTGTATAAAAACACACACACAGCACAAAGTACACAAAGCTCGTTCGTTCGTTCGCTCTCTCTCGCTCGCTCTCTCTCTCTCTCTCCCTCTCTCTCCCCGCGCCAGATTTCTGCGGCGCGGGAATACATTTCCGAATAAATCGCGGGAGCAGAACTCTAGCACGGAGCTCCATAAACAAACAGCACGCGTCGCGTTTTTAACGTGACTTTGCACGCGATAAGATAATATATCCAGTTAACCTGATACAGTACACGCGGTTACAAGTAACAAATCACAACTAAATACATTTGCAAGCTAGAGTAAACGAGGCAACAACTTTAACCGCACGTACTTACACTTGAGAAATGTAAGAAACCCATCCTGACGTCCATCAGTTACTCTTTACTGATCCTTCCTTTAACAAACTCAGATGAAGTATTCTTTGTAGCATGTAGCTTCCAGAAGTTTCCAACTGCTTGGTTATAATGCTGATGTTTCATCTTTGGGTAGAGACTCAATATATCCATCTGCAGTGTGACTTCAATCGACCGGCATGTTTGTGTGTGTGTGTTCGTGGGTGTGCGTGTGTTTGTGGGTGTGTGTGTGTCTGGGTTTCTGCGTCAGAGGGCGGGGCCTCAGGTTTGAAATCTCCCGGGTTTGCGCGTGCACGTGAATAACTTGGTTTCGTTCGTACGTCATGGCGAAACACCTAATGAGTCTGTATCAAGGCGACTCGTTTGAAGCACTATGAGTCGACTCTTTTATAGATGAATCAACCGTTTTAAACACTGTATTCTTACAGATTTAAGCCTTAGCTGGATACTTCACTTCACTTAGAGCTGTGTTACACACTACATGGAGGGGAATTTTCAAAAACCCATAATATGGGCTCTTTAAGTAGGATTTTTCAGTACTCTTTCCACCACTGCTTGACAGGTCTTGTGAGGTTTGTTGCCAATTTACTTTGTAATATAACAATGTTTACCTTATATATTGAGGTAAAGTTGGTTTTATATTCACACTTTCAAACTTTCTCCTCAATATTATATTTTCTACGTTTTTTTTTTTTTTGTAAAGTATTTTTTTCGAATTCTCAATAAAGAAATCTAATTGGCAGCCAATGACCATCAAACTACAACATTGTTCACACATTAATAAATATTGCTAATGTTGTTTTGAATTCATACTTTTATGCTATTATTGACCGATTATTCAAAGGTAGCATGGTAAACAATATAGGTACAAGTTGTCAAATTGTTGAACAAATGTATAAACAAAAAAAATAACACTTTGCCTCAATATCTCATATTTATGTAAAATAATTCCAGTATGACATGGCAACGTATTCAATGTTAGAAATAAACAATGACAGACCTCGTTCGAGACACATATCCGGAGCAGGAGCGAGAAAACACCAGATTACAGTTGTTGAAGAGCTTGAAGGACTGCAGCATGGCTAAAATACCCACAATAAACTGCCTGTGTGTATGAAGGTTTCAACATTCACACTCAACTGAAACAGTCATGGGTTTAGGAACTTGCCCTTGAAACTTTGAAACAAACCTAAGGTGACAGTACAATCTATTACTTCAGTGTCACGGATTTCTTTAAACGGCAGACGTTTTGTCCTAGTTTTTGTTAAGGCACGATGAGATGAATCACAGAAACGCAAACTAGAACACACAAATCCGCAATAATTCGAATAAATAAATGCTGATAATTATATGCTGTTCTCACACTTTAGTAAAATGTACTTTTTATAGCATAATACACTATTACGTAAGTAATACACTATCAAGTTGTAACATACTTATTCAAATAATCATGATTGTTTTTGTGCTCATGAAAACATTGCCGCGCCGCGTAACATGCCCTACGTCATTACGTCATCAAGAGTGGTCCGCAAATAGCGGCATGAAAGAAAATGTGAAAGTAAGGAAACAGCGCTCTCTGTCGATTTGTCTTTTGCAATGTACATTGTTCATTTTTAGTTGTAGTACATAATTATACAAACAACCAAAAAAGACTATTTATCGCCTTGTTTGGGATGTATATCGTTAAACAAACAAACAAATAAAATCAAAGTACATGTTTTATTATTATTTTTCATTGTTAATACTACAACAAACATGTACAAATTAACCAAACAGACAATATAGAAGAACTACAACAATAATATTAATGATGATAATAATATCTCAACAAAATCTGAATTAAATAAATGCAAATACACTCACCGGCCACTTTATTAGGTACACCTTATCATGTTGGACCCCC